AATCTTGATTGTTAATTTAAGCTGCAGGCCTACTTACATGTAGGGGTGTGAGAAGGATTCCACCTGCAACAGCACGGAAGAGGTGAAGATGGAATCCCTGGTCTTTTCCAGAGAAAGACTCAGGACACACTACACAAATGGTAGGTGCAAAACAAATTAAGTATATAGCTGAGGTATTGGATCTCCTTTTCTTAGGAGGCTGTTTTATAAAACCTTTCTTGGTTCAAACATAGTTGGACTTTTTCAGGAAGAAAAAACCGCTGTGGGAAACGAAATACAGCTAGACCTCTTGTGGTTAAGGAAGTCCATGAGCAGCAAATTACTGTCAAGAATTTCTGGAAACCACAAACTTGGGATGGGAAACAAAGAAGCAGAATTAATACTCGAATGTTTGTTACCAGTTTCTCTTTCTCTTTGTTTTAGAGATTTTTTTTTGAGCAGGAATGGAAGCTGAGGTATTATTTCCCTGCAATGTCTCGCTAAGCAGATTGTGACAGAAAAAAAGCGATACCTGAACACATTCTCCACTTCAATAGTGCCTTTCATCCCAGAGGCTCAAAGTTATGAAGCAACACGCCTGTGAGTTTGTCCCTGTAATTATTTCCCATTTTAAATGTGGGAAACAGAAGTATGGAGAGGTTAAACAACCTGCCCAAAGGTGGAAGGTTGCCTATAATAGAGATAAAAAGAAAATGTTTTTCTGTCTATCCCATATGCATGTCAAAATTTCACATCTCTCACATATAATGAATTTAATACTGTCTTTTAAAAGAAAATCTTTGTCATCATTTTTTCTATTTCCCAGGTCAGGCCTAGGATCCCAGAGTGGAATATTGTTTGGCACCAAGTTTATTGGGACATAATACTGTATTGCTCATCAGAAGATATTTCCTATCTAGGGTATTGCTGTCTTACTGAACATTTTCAGTAATTCAAATGCAGTCTCTAATCCAATTTTTTATTGGAGGGGGAAGAGTGAAATGATTTTAAAGAGTTACATAGGGCTTCACTTCTGCGCCAAGACATCCCCAATAGCAGGGTTCCAGGAAATATGCAGCAAAAAACTTCTAGACAAAGTTGCAGTTTCTTTTTCTTTGCAGTTTAACAGGAAACAATGCCAGGAGAAAAGAAGAAAGTGTATGTGCAGGTTGAATCCCTGCTAGCATCAGATGGTGCAAAGGTTGTACCTCATGGTACACAAGGGAACATTCAGAGGGGCCATAGCTGTTCTCTGATTGCCTTGCCACTGCCTAATAGTAGGTAAACACTATTTCTGCTCCCTCTCTGGGTCAGCAAGAGAGCCTTCTAGGTTAGGATTTTACACTGAGACACAAACTAAGTTAGAGATTTTCTCTTAGCTGGGGTTCATTCCTAGCCAAAGCTGTCCCTCGAATAACAAGCAAGTCTCCTTACTCTCAATAGAATCTGTGAGTGCAGAATTCCCCTTTCAGTAACCTAGGTTTCTTTCTTAATTGCTTAGAGACAAATAGCCCTGGGAGGATGCTGCTTGACTGCTTATATTCCAATGTTCCCCACAAAATGTCTATACAGTTAATGAAGTTTTCGGAAATACGTTGAATTTTCTTGTAGTGAGGCAGTAGCAGCTTATAGCAGGGAGCCAAATTGCTAGTGAGCAAATGCACATTAAAGGAACATTTCGATGTTATTAAAAATAATGTGCAGCCTTGGAAAAATGCAGGCCTAACATGATTTTGGGAGACAGATGAGGAGCTCCAATAAGTTCACAGCCATTGAATGCCTCCAAGTAATGGCTGTTGCTGACATTTTCATGTTTTATTTTTAATTGCTGCAGCTAATAATGCTAGTGAGCTAAGAATGGCAATGGCTTAGGCATTCCAATGGCAGTGGTAAAGAGGAGAGTGTGGAGCTGGCAGCAAAGCTGCTGGGGACCCGTACTCCCTTGTCTTTCCCAGAAAAAGACCTGAGGCACTCCAGCCTTCAGAGTTACTCGTTCTTATGCGGCCACAGGGAAAATGTTTGGGAGTGGTAAACTTCCACTCAGGGAAGCAGCCATGGAAAAGCTGCTCTTGGCTGCCCCTTGGACATGGGTGCTGCAGTTTGACTCTGGCACACCCAGTGTGCACCACAGCACTTCTGGGATTGTAACAGGAGACAAAGCAACTTCCTCTTTAATCCTTGGTGCAGAATTCACCCAAAGCAGATTTTTCTCATGAAAGGTAGCACAGACTTGAGCTTTGATTTGGGGGCCTGAGGCTGGATTTATTTGGTGTGTGAGTAATTAAAACCTCTAGACTTGCTGATTCAGTCCTAGTTATGACCATGATTTTATCACTGTATTGTTCCATTCCTAATTCTTTAGCGAGGTTAGAGCAGGTTAATCTTAGTGAAATGCTTGCTTAATTCTATCCCAACTCATTTGTTCTCTTAATAAAATCTGCATAAAGAATGGAGAAATAGTAATTCTTTCAGCTTGTTCCAATTACTTTGAGAGCAAAGCTAATTCAGCTGAAGCAGCTTAAGAGCAACTTGACTGTGTTTTTACAGTTGAGGCTCTGTGCCAACAGGAGACAAGACACGTTCCATACTCCAGAGCAGTGTCAGTATCTTCATCTGGTTAAAATCTGGAACATGCCCAGGTTTGGCTCTTGGATGTTGCATGGCTTTTTCTCCAGTCTTCTGCCCTGCTGTTCAGTTCTGCCAGGTTTAGAGTTTCTGCCTCTTTTACTTCTCCTTTGGACTGCTGTTTTTCCCATGGCCCATTAGGAAAGCAGAATAAATGGAATTGAGTGTATGGGTGTTCACTTTGTCCATTGTGAAAAGCAAAAGACTTTTTCTGTTGGTTTTGTCTCATCAGAAAGGACTTGTGGCTAAATGACAGTTTGGTATGACCCAGTACGTTTATCCTTACAAATACTAAATAACATGACATCCATAAGGGATACACTTCTCAGAAGAACACGATAGATGGATGTGTTGCCAAAAGGGATGGAAAAAGTCAGAAAATTTATCTAAGAAAATAAAATAATTTTAAATTAAACCTGAGCAGGGAGTATTTGTATAGACTGCAGGCCCTGGCTGCCACAGTGAACACTTGGTGCATGGCAGAGTGGATGTCTGAGCCAAGAGAGAACTGGAATAATTCTTATTTGCTACTTCATGAGGCCTCTCCATAGAAACTAAAGCTGTCTTAATTTTATGATACCTTAAGGGGCCAGATCCAATCTGAGCATTATTACACTGTTGGCACAACTCAGCCACAGAAGTTCCCTTTCCCTTTTTGGCCAGCCAAGCTTCCAAACCTCAGCAGAGGGGAAGTTGCACCACCTGAGCTTGTGCTGGCTCCATTGCACTGGGGAGATTCACCCTGGTGCCTCAGAGATGGGTGACATGCTCTTTGTCTGGAGGAGGAGACCTGGCTGGGGTGTACAAAGTAATAATGAAATCTAAATGACGAAAGTAATGACAAAATAGTCAAGGTGATGGCAAGAAAATGTTCAAAGAAGCATGACAGTCTGTGGCTGCTGAACAACAGGGAGCTCTTGGTGCAGAGAGAAGAAAACAATACCATATTGGCTGTGGCACTTTGCTGCCAGGAATGCCGCTTCATGAACCATGGGAGAAATCTCCCAAATGTGCTCTGATTTCTGCGCTTGATTGGTGAGCCAAGTTTCAAGTCCCTTCCTCGCTTTTTACTTATATCATGCCCTAAAGCATTACAGAATAGTGAAAAAAATATTTAAGCCCTTAGAAGAGAGGGCAGAACAGTACTGAATGGGATTTCATTTTGAGGGACAAGGAATAACTCTCTCCAGCTCTATGGATAATGAATGCACTTAATGGGAAAGCAGGATAAAATACATATGACTGGGAACTTTAAACAGAAAAGTCTATTTGTGACATACCCCTGCTCCACACAGCTTCCCAAACCCTTTGTACTCTTTATACCTTCCTCACTTCCACAGAAACACAAAGACGACTGAAATGAGCATAGTGGAAACGACCTCCAAAGTGTGGTGGTTTGATTTCAGCATTAAATCTCCCCTTGATGGTTCACAGTGACACTGTATTGCCAATAGATTACAGGGTTGTAGCTATTTTCCATGCAGGAGAACACACAAAGGAACCCCCGCCAGCCCTAGCAGTGCTCTCAATCAAATAAAAACCCTTTAGCTTCCTGTTGCAGAGCTCTCCCTAGGATTCATGTATATTTTATCAAAGTTACATGCAGTTCTGATACTTGTTTCTAAAGTGTTTTAGTATGAATCCCAAGATGTACTGAAATGCTGCAGTGGACCTTTTTAAAAAAAATCCAGGTTAGAGTACAGAAAAAAAATTGAAATGTCTTAACTCTACAGAATGCAATAAGGGCAAATTTTGCTCAGCAGGCTTCTAGTGATATAAATAAGCAGAAGAAACACAAATCTACATCTATTTGAAATCATTTCACTATATGTAAGTGCACCCTGGTAGCAGCAGGAACAAAGAGGAGCTCCACTGTTTAACCTCTCATAAATTAAAGTCCTGCGAAGATCTAAAGCTATTTTTCTGCTAGAACTGCTTTTACAAGACAACATACATGCCAACACAAAAGAGCTGTAACTTCAGTTGTAACAAATTACTCTGAAAATAGTTAATAACAGCCTGGAGCAAGGGGAAAAAAAAATATTGTATTTACTAATTGGGATTTTTTTCTTTCTTTTTATAAAAAAAACCCAAAACAACAAACAAACAACAAAAACTCAAAAAAACCTCATGTTTTATGTCTTAAGCTAAGTTGTGAGATAAAGAGTTGCAATGAGCTTGCCAGAAGAAAGGTGTATGTAAATTTAAACCAATATTTCATTCCTCCTTTGTCTCAGAATTTCCAGATTTTAGATGAAGAAGGATGGACAGAAAACATGATCTGGCTACAGTATAATAAGGCATTTAGGTTGAAGTCAGCAAGAGCCAGCACAGTGGAGAGGTGATTAAAAAAAAAAAAAATTCATTTTGTATGTAATAAAGCTTTTAGTACTTACAGCTGTCCTCTTCTTCAGTAATACACTTCACAACATAACAGGCATAGATGAAGCCTGCCAGCTGAAACAAAATGTAATAGTGTTAGATGTAAGACTGATACCATAGAGAAACAAGAGATGGCTTTACAAAAGCGACTACAGAAACAGAAACAGCAAAATTCAGCAGACTTTCTTTGAGGAGGTAAAGATAATTCTCCACAACAGTTTGATAATTTTAATTAGAAATAGGGTAATTCTGCATCTTTCTTGAAAAACACATACTTCACTAAAACTTCCAAAAACTTTATCAAAAATTTTCCCATACCTAGTTAACTTATTTTAAATTACTGAAAAATACAAAAGTGAATGAGTATTTGGATGGATGAGCTTTTAGCTACTGAAAATGTAAATATTTCTGTCAAAATCAGATTTGCTATCCAACAAAACCTGGCCCTCTAGCAGAACTTTTTTTAAAACCGGAACTGAGCCAACTAAATCAAGGACAAATTCAGTGCACTTGTAAACCAGCTTCATAATGATATTTTATCAGTTGAAATTAGAGCTGTGGATTAATGGAACTTGTTCCCATATCTGCAATAGTTCCCAAGCCTCATTACAAGTCACTTTGGATAGTCCTGGATGTGTTTACATCAGCATCTCACATAGCAGCTGGCAAATTTGTATCTTGTTCCCTTCAATCCTCTCTGCAGAGCATGCCCAGAATTGAATTGTAAACAGGAGCAATGGGATTTAAAGAAAATGAAAATCTGGAGTAGTTATTGAAGTACCACCTGAAAACAATGATAATAAAAAAAGGAATAAATGGCCAATATCATACATGCCACAGGCCAAGTATCATGTGAGTCAGCTGCTGGTCCCTCCAGCAAGTTCTGTTGTTGCTGAGTTAGACCAGAAGTAAAAGAACAAATACTGGAGCAGCAACACGTGTCACATGTTGCCTGCTTTACACACCTTCCTTACATGTAGGTCTGGAGAGTTTTCTCTACTCCATTACAAGAAAACATTTTTCATCCTATAGCTCATCACTGAAGTTCGCATCGTAGGATGTCCAAAGAATTCCAGTTATTTGATCTCTTTGTAGTGAAAAGTGAGCCGTGCTGCCTGTGCTGTTATTCTGCACAGGCCACCTCACAGATATATTTTCATGAGCTGCAAAACCCTCTGTACACTTTGGGAATTTTTTTTATATGGATAATAAAAATGCCTAGAGGCTTCAGCCTCTAAGCTTTCTGTGAATGGTGCAAAACCCATAATCTCCGGCTGAGGGAGATGATGATCTTAACTTCAGTTTGAGTAATTAGTGGGTTGGACAGTAGAAGAAGTGAAATTTGAGAGACCATGTATTATGAATGCTGGTTAGTGAAAATGGATTTATTTTCTTGTTCATCCAAGGCATACGTACAATCACTGCAATATTGTAAGCTCTTAGAGCCCTTAATATTACCCATATATAAATTAAATGCAAAAAAAGCCATTCTATTTCGTAGTGCCTTCATACCTGAGGCAGTGACTATGCCTAGATTTCTCCAGCTCTTACACAGATATTCCTGGAATTTCTGTCAGTTTACTATGTAGAAAGCTACCTATACCCACAAATTCTACCTTCTAATATCGGTATGGGTGAGTGATGTGAAAGGGGAAAAAAAGGTCAGCCTGAAGGCTTTCCTAAAAAATCAAGACTTAATTTGGAGGTCACATTGAAGCCAGCATAGGTGTTGTCTGTTCACAGTTTAAATTCCTGTTGGAAGCCCAGAAGAGGCATTACAATGGAACTAAACCATTAATTTTGTCATTTATTATAAATCTGCCTTATAGTGCTGCTGGGAAGATTTTACACCTGGGAAGGATGAAATATTCACTGCTGGACACAAAGAACGCACTGTACCAAGACGTGGCATTCAGCTAATATCAGCATTTCATCTCTCCTTTATTGGATCCCTCTTCCCTTTTGTTTCTTGGCTTCAAGACAGAGGGCTAATTTGCTCCACTGACTTATGCCATGCATAACCCCATTGACTTCAATGACATTACTTGAGGTTTAATTCAGCAACGAATTAGGCCCAGAAAGGTTGTTCATAAATGATTCCATTCCTGGATGTGAACCTTGGCTTAATAGTTTCTCTGTTCTCTTTTTACAGACCATCAGATCCAAGATAGCTGAATAGCTGCACCTCTAGCAGGCTTCTATGGTAATCCTTTTCTTGCACTACAGTTCAATACTTTACTGTCTTGTCAACCACCACAAGTTTATGTGTTATTAACTGAACTTATCTTACAAAGCACAGCAAACAAATCGTATCACAAATGGTGTTTACAACAGATCTTTTAATTGTATTCAGTTACATCACTTAAATCTCTAGGGAACTCCTTTGATATACAAGCAAATCCTACAGCATTTCATCAGATGAGCTTGCTGATTAAAAGAATGCCTTAAAGCTCAAATTGTTCTGATCTAAGTATGAATGTCAGGGTTTTTTCCCATGAGATAATCAGAGTTCATAAAAGAAACCTCCCCTTTTCCCACATTTATCCAACCCTTAGCTTGGTAAACATAATCATGTTGTTCTTATTTGAATCTCACATTATTTTTTTTTTCTTTCTCTTTTTTTTCTTTCTTTTTTTTATCCAAGTAATTTATCAGTTCTGATGCAGTGACAGACATTCAAGTTTTCTTTCTAATTGCATCAGCAGCAGTGGGCACACTGAGCTGAGGCTCAGAACCAAAAGTGGCAATTTTCACTTCGATGATACTCAGTGCCCTGAGCCCATGGTGACTGCAGAGATCCCCAAGATAGACATCAGGAACATGTTTCCTCCCCTATGGACTAGGACTTCCCATTAGAAGGGTACAGCTCATCTGTGCAGATAGCAGAGATTTCTTTGGGACTTTGGTCAACTAAAATTTTTAATAAATTCCTACGTGGATTGATAGGTCTCCCAAAATTTACCACCTTTGTTATAGTACAAGATGCACTTTAACCTTTTCTCTCTAACAAAAGCACACCACAATATACCTTTGAATCAAAAAAATACCCCCAAACCCCAACAAATCCAAACAAAACACTGAGTAACTCCTCATCCTGGAGAAGAATATGAGAGAAGAACCCCAAACCAAAGCAAATTATAGAAGTTAGTCACATCACTTATATTCCTGGGAAGTCCTCAAATACAGCAGTGCTCAGTGCAGTATGAGAATTACACAGAGCAGAGTCTTCCTGATTCAGTAGCTCCAAAAGATTTTTTTCATACATGAGAAGGAAGGAAATGAATCCTCAGAGATAAAGAAGAGAAGGAGACTGACTATCTCACAAAATCAATTCAAAACCGGGAAAGTTAGCTTGAAAAATCTCGTTTGCATCCCTACCTTTTGCTTTGCATCCCTACCTATTTTTTTTTAAATTAACTGAGCTTTGGTTTTTTGTAAACCATGCAGTGATAAAAAGAAATAGGTGCAATGAGCGGAAGATCATTTCTGGATCCCAGATCCATCAAGATTAGATGTCAACATCTGTCCCACTCACATTTTAACGCTGTAGTATGGGCCTCTAGAGGAGAAGGAGCCATTAGCAACATTCCTGCTCATTTATACATGGAGCGATTAGTGAATGCATGTTTTTATGAACCTCATTTTCTGCACCTTGAAAAAGCCTGCTCTTTACAACTTTCCCTGATATGTCCATATGAGAGTATAAATGAATACTGCTCTTTCTAAAAGTGGCACATTATCCATACCTGCACCAGCTCCCTGGGTGTACTTTGACGGCATCTGATGACCTTAATTTTAGAAACAATGATCTCAAACACTTAATAATTTTGTGGGCAGTTTTTAATTTTTTTTATTGCCTTTTTTAAAAATTTTTTTTAAATTTTCAAGCATGTTGATAAAACCATTTTCCTTCTGTCAAGAAAAAAAAAAAGAAGACAAGCAAAACCTAAAATAAATCACCAATAAAACAACATTACTGAAGCTTTGGTAATAAGATTAACTACAAAATGAAGTTAATGCCTTTTATTGCCTTATCATAGCTGTATAAGGAAAACAAAAAAGTAGAATATTCCCACCTAAGTCAATGATGCCCTATTACACCTCAAAAGACTCTCGGCAGATCCTGAGTCACTGTGAGTGTACTTCCAGACTTGCTCAAAATGTCAAGTGCTGTGATCAAACTCAATCAGAATTAGTATTGATTAAAATCCTGTCTTGCTATTTTTTCTCACTTCTTTCATGAGATGAATGTTTTTATACACTGCAAAGAGCACCAGATTTGGAAAAAAGGCTATCATATAAAAAAATGTAATTTCTGGTCAAGGTTTCCACATTTCCCTCCTCTAAAGCAATATCTATATAGGTAATTACTACAAGTTATGCTTATTAAGCTGGGAACTTGAAAGAAAAGAGTGATAGCAAGGAGGAAACAAAAAATGAAAGGGGATCTGATTGGGATAGGGTGATGAGGAGCAGGCTTGAGATGAGGATTAATGAGTTAAGGGTTGTGGAAATAATACATAGTCTTGGTTTCCTTGAATGAATATGGTTTTATTTTAAAACCATACTTGTTCCAGCAAAATAGACCTTAGACTTAAAATACACAAACCTATTGTGTTTTCCTATGGAAAAATGCTTCAGTATCTCTGAAACAGCTGAGGCTTGTGCATTTACTTTTTTTATTATTAAGTTTTTGCAGGTGTCTATAAACACTCTGCTTTTAAGACCTAAGAAAAATATGGTCTAGTTCAAGCAATAATGCGGCAGAAATACATGGGTGTAATTCTGGCCCTGGGAATGCAATATTGCAAAGCTGCAATGTTACATGTCCAGTCATGTGCAAATTAATCGTATTTCCTAAGCTTACAGTGGTCTGCACACATAAAACCTTTGTAGTGATGTGCATTTAAGGGGCAATGTTTCTTTAAAATGGATTTTTGGAGTCTGGAGATATATTGCTATATATATATATACACACACACACATTATGAGCAACTGAAGAACTGGAGTATTACTGTCTAGAAAGCTTCCAGTGTATTGATTCTCAGAAGAATCATACTCATTATTTAGCAGGA